CTTAGCTCAAAATCCAATGTTTATTTTATTTTGCCTCTTGTTATCTGTTGCTTATTTTTACAGACTTGACTTTTCTTTTTTCTTTTTTCAAGCCCATTCTGATACAACGTTGTCATTTGATATTTTTGTGCTGCCTCCGCTCCAGTGCTAATGTGATTGCATTTTCTTTTTGGACCAACTAATAGTCTTTTTCTCTTAATTGCAGCTCTGACGATGCTTCTGGCTTCTTTGTTTCCTTGCTTTTTGGTCTTGGACCATTACTTGGTGGCCTTTTTCTTGTTTCATTTGCTCTTACGTCCCATCTTCATCACGCTATTCTTATGAGTGCAGCCTCTGGCATTGCCTTTGTCCTTGGTGCCTGGCGGCCATTACAGTTAGTTCTATCTTCCAAGATGGGGCTCATCCCCCTTACGTTACTACTTGCTGTTGGAGCCATATTTGTCCAGGTTTCAAGCTCCAATATATTGGCACTGGCAGGTCGGAGAAGGTCTTCAACCAATGACCTGCCCTCAATAACAGGTTTTCCAGTGAGTGTTATCACTCTTCAGTCAGTCTTAGCCTGTGGAGCAGTTGCTTTACATGCACTAGCTGAAGGGCTTGCTCTAGGAGTGGCTGCACCAAAAGCTTACGGATTTGGTCAACACATGGTCCTCCCGGTCTCCCTTCATGGCCTCCCCCGTGGTGCAGCAGTGGCTAGCTGCATCTTTGGAGCCACTGAAAATTGGCATGGAGCTCTTGCAGCAGCAGCTCTGATTGGCTTTGTGGGCCCAGTATCTGCAATCGGAGCAATACTTGCTGGAATTGACTACAGCGGCCTAGACCATTTGATGGTTTTTGCCTGTGGAGGATTACTCCCATGCTTTATCCGGATTGTTAAAAGAGCAGTAAAGTTGGACACACAGAAAAGCAGTTGGGGGCTCACATTAGGAGTTGGTTTTGCTACTCTATGCTTAACATGCACCAAGCTAGTTTGCTTGCACACACCTTACTGCAATTCTGCTCCAGAGGCTGTCCGATAAGAGATACTGCAGGAGCTCCAGTGTGATGTAATTGCTGCTATAAGTGTGTGGCATCTGCTATACCAGATAGTTACCGATTGATTTGTAGATAGACTCTGGGAAAAGATAAAAATTATAAGGAAAGCTCTGAAGAGGATTCAGAATCCTACTCAACAGCTGAGAAGATGATGCTTTGTGCTGTACCCTAGGTTTGAATTTTCTTTAAAATCCTCTAGTGATAAAGGGAGGAGAGATAAGTTGGTAGCTTCCCTTGGGAATCATATCATACCAGATATTGACTTGTTATCATCTGAAATGATTCTTTTCTGTTTTAGGTGAACATTGTTCTTCACACAGATAATCGATACATAAATCCAAGGAAAACATTCTTGTTGCAAATAATATCAACACGGAGTCAAAGTGTCAACACACATCATAAACGGTATCATCAATGCCATTCATAAAAATGGGGTATGATCTACGCTGTGCATACAAAAAGAAAAGTAAAAATGGTATTAATACATGTTGCCAGGCGTAATATATGTTTTGTTTTTCTTTTGTGTTTAGATTGTGGAAAAAGTGATTGTTGAATCGAGTGACAACTTTTTAATATTAAAGAATTTGTTTTTAACTAGTGATATAAATTACACAATTTAAATAGCACAATAATATTATAAAATAATAGATAGAGCAGTAAAATGATAAATAAAAGAGTTTTTTATTTCACTCTTTTTTCTTTTATGTTCGAATCATATAAATTTGTAGATCTATATATAAAGAATAATGATACGGAGAACGACTTTTGGAAAACGAAATTGAACGACGACTTATCTGGCTTGTCATGTATGCAAACACCCAATTCACTTGACACATAAACATACATACGTGTAAACTAAAGAAATTGCCAAGTAAGTTGCCGTACAATTTCCTCTCCCAAAAGTCATCGTCCGTATCATTATTCATATATAAAATAAGAGACATAAAGAAGTTATATTGTTCATTGAATAAAATTAAATGAGAGAATGAATGATACTTTAATGAACTTTTATGCTTTAATGAATTTTTGAATGATTTTTAATGAAATCATGATTTTTAAAAATAAAAAATTATTTTTTAATTGTGAAAAGTTATAATATAAAAGAAGGTAAATGTTAAGGTAAAGTATCTATCAAAAGAAAACATTCACAATAAATAAGCTTTTTTCTTTTTCTGATATATCTTCTCCATTTGTTATTCTTTTCTCCTTTTATTATTGTTATTTTTTTCCATACATGAAAAATTTGTTATGTTTTTCGGTACATTGAATTTGGACATTCAAAAAATATATATAAACGGCAATTTCATTTTTTCTTTTCTCATTTCTTTTTAAAGATAAATGAAAAGATTGGCTTTTAGACCCCACAAACAACGTGAGAGAAAAGTCGGTTGTCTTTTTTTAATCAAATCAAACTGGTCGTCGGAGACTTGTGACCACTGCTTTACAGAATTGATTTCTCATTTCCAAAAACGGACAGATATTTATTAAATATATTAGTTCCAACCATTTTGCTTCTTTTTTTTCTGTGTGTGTGAGTTTCTTCTAAAGTCTCCACTTTCTGCTACGGCTTACTGCACAATTATGTCATTTGCTTGCTAAATTAGACTTGAGATTGCATTTATTGAAATATAAAACACTTTGCTGCTACTAATAAAATGGTAATTACCGAAAGTCAGTCATCATAATACATGCAATGTCAAACCTGCAAAGGTCAAACGTCTCTCCATCCCCACTTTTTTTCTTTTTTTAGACGACATGACAATGTTTTTTCCTTTTTCATATATCAAAAAATTAAGAGAAAAAGAGAAAAATCTTCAAATAATTGGTAAAAGTAAAACTTTTAATCAACGAACTATAAAGCTCAATGAGTTGGTGGTTCAAGAGACAATACTTTTTTATTCTTTAAAGATCCTTACTTACACATGCCCACAACCCGAAATCAGTTAACCAGTCCATCCTGACCTTATTAAGACTATTTTCATTTTAAATATACAGACTAAACAGAAGTTATGAACAAAAATGAAAAACAACATTTCTGGAACAAACAGAACAAGAAAAATGAAACAAAATCACTTCCCACTTCTACTCATTGCTCTTTGATTTTCTCACCACTTTCGGTCACCAACTTCTCCCTCTCTTCAACAAACCCAACCTTCACCACTGCCGGCTTCACTTCCTCCACACTCTGCGATCCTGTCAACCTCGCCAATATCACAAACGACATGCCCCCAAGGACATTGTTCATGCATCTCAGGACCACCACGGATGTCTTGAACACCAATGGAGGCGCCACTTTGGCCAATAAGAATTCGATTCCGTTCAAGGTTTGGTATCTTAAATTGCTGCTGATGCCCATGTGGAGGGCCCAGGTGAGGGCGTTCAATACCGTTGGAGGAGGCTTATTGGGGGTTTCAAAATCAGGGTCCATTTTCTTCCTAATCTTGATCAGCCCATTGGAGATCACAGTTCCGACGAGCCCAGCAGCGAACCCGACTGCTGCAAACACAGTTCCTTTGTAGACAAAAGTCCCAAGACGGTTAGCCAGGGAATAGGCACCTGGTTCAAACATATGGCTCTTGGGACAGTTTGCGAAGATTGCTGGGAGACTGGAAGAAGTTGCAGAGGCTGTGGGGGCAAGGAGGTACATGAGAATGAAATTCAAGATGCAGCCGACAACGAGAGTAGAGAAAACGAAGTCGAGCTCGTTCAGGCCAAAGTTCGGTCGGGTAGCCATGTCGCCGAGGACGCAAGCGCTGACGCCGACCAATTCTTCCATTAGAACCTTGAAAGGGAACTGCGGGTCCGCAGCAACCCTGTCCCTCCACCCACTTAGCAAAAGACCCAAAATCCCAAAACCCTCCAACTTATTACCGGAATCAGAATTGAAATTCCCTTCTGCCCCCCATCCTCCGTCCCCTCCACCACCACTGCCACCACTGTGACCCACCCCATTGCTCCCATCTCCTCCAGCGTATGCAATCTCGAGTTTGGCAGGCGAGAGAGGATTGAAAATTCTCATCTGGGGAAAGCGGAGAGATTGGTTCGGAGGGAATGAGACAGTAACCAAAGGTTGTGACTCCATTCGGCGGCTCTCACCGGTAGCGGTAGGCAATTGCCTGGCCACCGTTGAGCACCGTAACTGACCCATTGAAGCCATCTCTTCCTATCAATTACTATACACTAAATTAACTGATCCGCCGATTAATCAATCTGCTTCCTGAAACTCAAATCCCCACCAAATTAGCCCTGCAAAGATTTTTACTTTAAAAAAACCCCAAAGATTAAAAAGGAAAAAAAAAAAAAGAAAAGAAAAAACCCAGAAAAGATCAACAAACAAGAGACCCACAAACTATCTATTATCCACATCCCTCTATTTTCAATGTATGGAAGAAGGAAAACAGAAAGCAACTCAGATTTGGAGTTTATGACAGGAATGAGAGAACGATGAAATCTTAAAAGAAACGAAAAGAAGTGCATGAAGAAATGTACCAAAAAGAGCAGGACTTAAGCAAGGCGAGATGCGTGCTGATTTGCTGTACAGATTGAGGGAATGAAATGAGGTGGTAAAGAATGTAGCATTTATATTAGGGGAAATGACAGGAGAGAGTTGGGAAGTTGGAATCAGCACAGAAAGAGGCCCTATCTAAAACCCTAATTAAAGGCCCCATTCAGAGGCAAGTGACTCAAGACCCAGAGCCGTAGGCCCAGGTTTTCAATAATTTGTTGTTTGATATAAAGATACTTTACGAGAACCTAATACAAATCCGACCTTAGCTCAGTTGGTAGAGCGGAGGACTGTAGTGGGTTCAAACACCTAATAGCTATCCTTAGGTCGCTGGTTCGAATCCGGCAGGTCGGATGTTTTTGGTTCCATGGGGACTCGTTTATATATTGACGTAAACGTGGGTTAATATCTTCACCAAACCCATTTGAGAATGCAGTTACCCCAGAGCCCAGAAAGCAGCAGCCGACTAACGTACATTTCTTGGCACAATTTGGGAATGT